AAGTACCTTTAAATATTTGTACAGCACATCAAGTTCAGAAGATAAAAAAAAGGTTTAGGCTGAAATAATACTGTCTCTAATAGAAAAAAAACCCCTTCCACTACTGACAATCTCTGATCATCCAAGAGCAGTAGGAGGAAAAAAAACCTCCAAACTTCAAAACCCCCTCCATGCTCCTACCTTATGGACGGTCTATGTATCCATCATCTCACTTAAAACACTGGTTCCCTTAACCTGCCTTTGTTTATCTGACAGCAAAACTGTTCCAAAGCTGGCTCAACCTAATCTGAGCTAATGAACAGTACGGTTTGCATAGCCTTTCAGCTACCCTCACCCTCAAGGACTCAGCAGCAAGCTTAGGAGCTGCACCTCTTCCTTATGCCGGGCCCATCAATCCAACCAACTGAAAGTGGGTGCTGCTGCACCAGCTTTGTCTAATCACTAAACAGAAATTCTGGGCCTCCTAAATGCAGAACTTGGTCTACAGACTTTTGAAACATAATAAATTCCAGGGAAGTAGATTTTTCAAGTATCACATTTTTGAAAAAAATCTTGCCTTGTACCGAGCAGGTATGTGCAGTGTCTAAAAATTAAAATCATGCCATAGTTTCATTTACCACAAGTTATTGTAACTTCAAAAGGAAGTTTACCATGCAATGCAATGGAATGGAAACCTATCTTTCACTAAGCAGAAGGAAAAGTAATTTGTAAAAAGCATTTGTAAGTATAAAAAAAGATCCAATTTCCTTTGTCATGCTACAACTGACAATTTAAATAACTCAAAGAACTGAAAAACTAAAAGCCAAGGAAGGGAATTTTCTTAATCATGAAGTTAAAGTTTTTTTATTCTATTTCATAAAAACTTATATATGCGTGTTCTTTCTGTCAATACAGTCAGAACTGACAGTGGTTCTCAGAGTCTAATACTTTTTTAGTACAGGAGCTTATTTCAAGTTTGTCAAATTGGTAGTTTGAAACAGTGTTGCCTTCCAGACATCTCATTCAGACTGATCATAGAGTACAGTGCAAATGTAAATGGCATTACCACACCTACTACTACAATTCAGGAGAAAAAGTGTTTTACACTCTTCCAAGTTACTTTAAAATGAAATGGAAAATATATGAAGGGTGGTTTAGTATTTACCACTGAAAATTCAGTGGCTAAAAAGGGAAAAGGAGGAAGCAATTTGACCAGTATATGCAACTGGTACAGCTTGGGAAGGAATGAAAGGAGAGGGAAAAACCGCAGTATGTTTCTGCAGGCCAGCAAATGCCTGCCGAGATCAGGATGCAAACACAATTATCAGAACTTGGATAGGAACCTAAAATGTGTGCTTCCCAATGCAAATTCTTTTGTCCAGCAAGCTGCCATGAAACTACAAGCAGAGAGTGTGTTCTGGGGAAATGCATGAGATAAGACTATTTTCTAATAAAGCAGATGGAAAAATAACATACTTTAGAGAGGGGAAAAAAGAAAAAGATGACTATTAAGCTCTTAAAAGCGTGGACAGAAAGTTAGGAAATGCTAGAACTGAAGGTACACATTCAAATGACACACAGTCCCTTTGTGAAAATACTTTATGATCCAGAATTTATTTAAACAATTAAACACATAGACATGGCCCTGCAGGAGTTCTGACTGTGTAGTAACTGTATGGACTCGGACCTGGAAATTAATTCAGTTTATGTGTAAGCTTATGCAATGTCTATAGGATTTCTGCCTCATTTGTTGAAGAAATTAGAAGGCGTATAATAAAAGCAGTTTTTCAAATGGAGTTTTGAGAATAGAGAAAGGCTCATAATTAAGTCAGTGGAATATCATTCCAGATAACCGAATTCTTATATAAATCTGAGCAATTTACAACACATTTTTCACCAATGGCAAATTCTGTGTTCATTTTCTAGATGCCAACCCTGTATGAAGCTGAAGCTAGATTTCTCAGTAGCTCTGAAAACCTTAGCTACACTTAAACCCAAGAGAGACTGTATTTTAAACTTGTGCTATAAAAGTAACAAGTGTTCTGAAAAATTATATGGTAAGCTTCTCCTGAAAAACAGATTTTTGGTGATTTTGACACAAATTGCTCTGCGCATGAGCTGCGTATCTATGAAGCTAAAATTACAATATCATTTTCACAACTGTGTTGTGAGGATGAATTAATTAGCATCTGTGAAGCACTCAGTAAGGCCATGTGAAAAAAAAATCTCATGATGAAATTAGTAACTCAAGGGAATGCATAGCTAAGCTGAAGTGTGGTAAATAAGACCTCAACCCCTGCGCTGAATGATAAGGATAAAAATGGAACTCTGAATACTTTCCATTCAGTGAATAGCACTCATTTTTCTCTTGAATGGAGCAGAGATCCTGTGGAAAAAGACTGCTATACAATCATGAGAAAGCCATTTGTAATTCATTACTCTGTTCTATATTTGATTCTCATTAATGTTTTCTTTTCCTTTTCACATGATTTTTCTTTTATTCCCATTTATAGGCCTTTTTCATATTTTTTTCTAAACAGAACACAGCATCAGCAAAATTGATTATAAGGAACTTTCCAACCTAACATGTTACAGCGCCTTCACAATTAGGCACAGAAAACTGTCACAAAAAAAGAAAGAAAGAATTGATGGACAATTTTGATTGCAGTATTTGTCTCATGTCCTCTGTCAGCAGTGCCACTTACTGCAGTTCTGTTGGCTATAAACTTATAGGTACACTGTGGATGGAGAACTGTGCCACAGTTCTTCCACCCAGTGATAAGAGTCCAGTTGACAGCATTACTACAGCACCAGCCCTGTCTGCTTGATATCCTATTAGAAAAGAGGGTGGTCCAGAGGAAAGAG